GCTCCATCAGATAAAGAGCACTACTACTAAGGAGAGATTATGTTACGTAGTTGTCACGGTTGCCAACCTTTCCCCCCACGCATACACAGAATAACGCTGGAGAGGAAGGAGGCAGTTTCCAACAAATTAGCACCTGGCAGAAAACACAGACCACACTCCAATGGCTAGTTCCGCGAGATATAATAGCAGTTGAAAGCGAGAGGGGAGGAGCGTTCAGAGAGCAGGGTGGGGGGAAAAACAAAAAAAGAGAAAAGAAAAGAAAAATTACCTCTTGACACTTTTAATAGTACCGTAGTATGATAGTAGTCGTAGTAGTACAATACCAGGATAAAATATTTCGCTGACCCCGGGATTTACACCAAAAATGGTCATTTTCAAACAGACAATTCCCCACACTGCCTTCATGAAAACACTCTAAATATTTCAACCAGCTAGATAATTACTATGCATTTAAACCTATAAAAGCGGAACTTCAAGGAATCAAAACTGAGTCCATAGTTCACAATTGTGTTGACCACTCAGAAGAGTGACCCAAATTTTTGTATGGCCCACCATACAAAAAGTTACCTGGCAACCAAATACCTCCTCAGACTTAAACAACATTCCCTCCACTTTATTACCATAATTAAAAATTCTGTAAGATGCACTGCTGAACCTCAGCAAATTCTCATTGGTATTGGGCTGTGGGAGAGGGTGGTGAAGGTTGTTGATACCTTTGGTGTAAAAAGGGCAAATCGCGAAATGTTTTGTCCTAACTTAGTACGAGTACTTTAATATCATAGCAGCACCGGGCCGGGGAATTTCCTATTATACCACCTAGGTCTCCCGGTGCAGACTCTCTAGTCCTCACACTATATCATACTCCTCCTCCTCCTCCTCCTCGTACCTTTCTTACCAAACCATGATAAAAACAACAAAACCTGCAAGAGCCTTTTATAAAGATAAGCGCATGAGGCCAGGAGTGTTGCACTGGTATGATACAAGTAACCTTTTATCCAATTCCTCTTACCGAATAAGAGAAGGGAGCGTCAGCGAAGAATTTCCCAGTGTCGGTAGCGCTCGGAAGCATATGGGGAACCTTGCGTACGTGACTGTAAAATGCGGATATTGAGACAAAGTATTTATAAAAAAGAGGTCCTGCCTACATCTTGATAATAACTAGACTATCTTTCTTTCTTTCTCTTACACTACTGGTATCAGTTAGACATGATATTCCTCACCCGTGGTAGGAAAGATAGCCAAAAAAAAAAAAAACATTCCAGCGCGGCATACCCGCCTGCAACTCGAAGATCAGATAAGCGAGAAAGATCACCGCCCAGGATGCCGAGGAGGAAGAAAGAGTCGAAAATAGTTCCCGCAAACCTTAATGACACAACAACAGGAAGAAGCGGCAAACAGCGCCAGGAGTTTTTGTCGGTGTTCGACAATTCAGACCTGTGGTAGAGCTTTTCTACACTAAGTACGCCCCCGTTCGGCTCCCTCGAAGGGAATTTTTAACCCCCCCCCTAAGATGCAGTGGTACCATTATGATACCTCTCCATAAAAGACTACGGAGAGCTCAACTCATTTTACCCCCCCACCTTGTGGTCGTCAATTCTGATAGAGCCAGGTCAGAGGACCGGGTCTATATATGATACTAGTATGACAGGATTTGTCTGAGTGCCTACTCGTTGTTGGCTAGTTATACTATTTGTGATACGGTATGTAACATATCCCTTATAGAGTACTACCTAGCCTACAAACCTGATTTCACGGTAATACTAATACCACTAGAGCAAGAAACTTAATTGGCTCAGAGCATCCACCATGTGAGGCAATAGCTTTCTCCGCGTAGCTCAACCCTGTACTCGAGTAATAGAACTCCATCACGTGTGAGCACTCGGTAATTGAAAGCCAAGGGACACCCTACCAGTGCCAATCTTTCTCTTCCCCGTGACATAAACAATAGATCCAGCCGTCGCTTGGGTTAAGGATCACAGTGGGCTATCAACGGACCCGCAAAATTTCCTCTTTTTTCTTTTTTGAACATATCGTTAGTACCGCAGGTTGAGCGCACTTAATATCAAACAGTGGGCAATTTGGTAACCATCAGCCAGGTTGTGGTCCCAAAACGCCCCGAGGAAGTACCGGTATCATATCCAGGCGCAACTTTCGGACCCCCATCGCAAAATTTCATTCGTCAATTAACTCTTACGCACCAGAAATGTAGGAAAATTAGCATCCATTTCTAGAAAACTCCCTCGTTAAGCTCTATGAAAATCATTCAAGGTGTTAGGATATCTCTCTAATTACGGACTAAATCTTCCTAAGCGGTCTTCCTCCATTCATTCTGCAACCCAATGATGGCAGCAGCGCTTCCACAAGCGGCAATAGCTTCGGGACTAATTGCCCCCCCTTCAACTGAATAATGAACCTAAACAAACCCCAAATCAGCTCCCGTCTCCAATCCGCAGGACTAACCTATGGAAGGGAAAGCATACCGTCAATGGCGCATAAGCGCAATTGCTCAAGACCTCTCTCTCCCAACCCTTGCCCCTCCTGTTTCCACCAAACAATCTAACAAACTCCAACGCAACATGGGCCATCCAGAACCTAGAACTCCACAGCCACAATTGCCCCTCGGTCCTCTTACGGATCCTGACTATTCCGTGAGAAGACAAGTACGCCACGTTCTCGCAGATCTGGAAACAAGTGTTGGCGAAAACCTGGGCAATCTCAATGGGGGAGGGGCGTGAAGCAGACAGGGTGGAAAGGCCCCAGGTGTAGATGCCGATAAGACCCCAAAGACGCATGAACATGCGGACATCGGATATTAGAGAGGTGAGCTTTGGAATGTTGATGCGGGTGGAACGAGTAGACGAGAGGACGGATGGAGGAAGGAGGACAAGGGTGTAATGGGTGGTCATGAGAACCTTGTCAATACCGGAGGGACTAGAGAGGAGTCTGTAAAATTATTAGCATTTTTTATTTTTATTTGTTTGCTATCGGAAATGACAAGTGGCGGGAGGAAGAGTAAGAATGCTGTTTGGATCGGATTGGAGGATGGAGGAAGTATTATACCGATTCAAACGAATCATAAATGCGTTAAACTTCTGCATAGTATCACTCTTGGGCGCCATGTCGAGTAATGAACAATGAGCGGCCTGACGAGTATTTATCGGGTAGTGGAAGTGGAAGTGGTGAGAGGGAGGTCAATGGAGTGGGAACAAGAGGAAAAAAGTGGGAAGAGAGAGAGAGATCAAGATTAGATCACCAAGTTCCCGTAATCGAGTATGATAATTTATCATACCAATGGACACCCACCCTCCCCCCCCGCACAAGGCAAGACACCGGCTGATCCTCCAGCTTACGTTTGCCTGGTCCACGCAGCGTTGCGTGCGACGCCGACCTCTCCTTTGCTTGTGAAGCTCCTTTCGGGTCATGTTAAGCCTGGATCCAAGGGCCGAGGTTGAGGTCTCGTCACGTGAGTTGAGCCCCCACCCTTTTCAAACAAGCATCATACAACGAGCATAGTATCATAGTGGTGCCAGTAGTACAGTGCAGCATGATAACGTTGCCGTATTAGATAGACTGCGGAGATGCGATATGAGTTTCACGAGTAATCTATATCAGAAATCTGGCCAGTTGCGATGCCGGCTCCTTTGGAACAGGTACTCGCACCGCACCTGCGAAGATATCGAGTACCGGTAAATGATGGTTATTGGAAGATTTGATACTATTCTAATCAAAGGGGTGTTTATCTGATCATGCAGGTGCTCGGGTACCGTACCAGTACAGAAGCATGGCTGATATGGGATAGTCTAAGGGGATATCACGCCTAAACTTAAGCTTAGCATACTTGAGTACCAACATCTATCTCACAGATTGTAATTCATGTCTCATGCACTGTACTCGAGTATGATGACCTCTACCTTTTCCTTTAAGGACAATAGTACCTCCGATGCTTGAGCTACCATGGCACCTGAGAAGTTATTTCAGTAACCGAGAAAAATATGGCCAGTAGGCATCATGACGACTAAGCTTTATTTGTTGTGGAGGAAATCGTTAGCATAGCAGTTGAGAATACAGGCCCGTTTAATTAAAGATAAGGATCTAGCTTTGTCCCCCGCTAATATTTGCCCCCATCTTTCCACGACCCATAACCTCCGTCAAGTACCTAAGTACCGGATCTATTTGTCATGACCTATCACCTTGATATTCCAACAATTGCTCTGCTTTCCCGTCCCCGGTGCCTACGCTATCCATGGCTTCTTGACGAGTGACCCCTTGACCCGTACCTCGAGGACCCATGTCTAGATGAACCATGCCTTGACTGTCCATGCTTGGTGGACCCGCGCCTGGAGCCGTGCCTCGTGGAGCGCTGTTTGGAGGATGAAGGGACAGGGACAGAGGCGCGTTGAGCCTCAACATCATCCGCTATAGCACCACCTCCGAAAAGCCCGCCTAAGAATCCACCTCTTTGATGGCTTGATGGAGGCTGTGCTCCAAGCCGTTGATTAATCACCTCCTGTTGCTCGTCTCTATCATAATTATCGCCCAGGGAAGGATCGGGTGGCTGCGGAAGTCCCTGCCGCCTGATGTTCTCTGCGCCTCGCTCTCGAAGAAAGTTCTCTAAAACAATGGCGTTGCGGGTATTGGCTTTAAACCCAATATCAACAATGTCACCGAGGAAAGGGATCAATCCAATGACAAAGTCAATGATCACATTGATCATCATGTGCGCCCTGACGCCGGAGGGAAGGTTCGCTTGGGAAGCCGTACGGATGACCATCATAGCAAGCATCACTATTACAGTATGACCTCAGCAGTGTTTGACCAGTAAAAGTGGTGGGATCTTACTATCAAGAATATCACCAATACCCGGGATAATTGCTATGAGAGAACTCCATCCAACTCGCATGCCACAGAAGCTACCCAATGCCATGTCCAACCTGTAGGCTCTTCTCTTAACCTTAATGAGCGTTTTCTCATCTTCGCGGGAGAGTCCCGGGGGAAGCGCCTTCTTGCGTCTCTTCGTTCTCCCTCCAGCAGAAAGACGGCCAGCGGGAAGAGTTTCGAAGTAAGGGTCGTCGGCCCCGTGGTTATTATCCGGATTCTCGCGGAAGACTCTATTGAATACAAATTTGGTAATTAAGCCAGACATCGTGGGCAAGAGCTGGTTGAGAAAGCTTTCTGGGAATATCACCAGGATTCTCGAAAAAAATGAATGGCCGATAAGATGAAAGATGAGGGGAAGTTCTCGAATAAGCACTGCTTTTAAAACTCCTTCGCAGCACCGCGATGATTGCGGCCCAAAGCTGTACCGGTGGACTGACGTATCAAGGCAAAGGAAGTGTTCGAATCAGAAAGCAAAGCGAGCAGCTCCGGACGAGCTCTAAGGCGACTTATAGGGTGGGGATCCATTTGTTTTAGATGCAGGATTCGTGTCAGGAAAAACCTGAAAAAGCTTCATGTCGACAAGGAGGAGCTGATCGCTACAAGCTTAAGGTCTTAAGGTCAAGCTATTGGGGGAGCTCGCGAGAGGCCAGGGGGGGAAATGGGTTTGCGGCCAAGTGGCGAGGAACGGACATTTCCGTGAGCTGGCCACTGCCAGATGACGTTTATATGGCAAGTGGCTGTGCATGCGGAAGCTTGCCCTCCTCAGATACGATATCATACCGGTAACTTACGGTAACTTATGCACTATCGGACTCTACAGTAGGGCAGTAGGGTTGCGCTACCCTGGTACCGTATGATGCCGGTAACATTTGTATGGGGCGTCTATCTACACATGTGGCGGTGCTCAGCTGTCTCTCCTGCAATAGGCTCCCCACGCCAACTTTCTCCACTTCACCAATGCCGCTGGCTGCCTGACTTGCCTCCCGTTCAACTTATCACCAAAGATCACCATATCGTCAACTCCACCTTCAACTAACTCTACCCAGACCACTACGCTACTTAGTGTTCAGCTCTCGACTGCGTCTAGTGTACCGATACCGTGCAGTTTTTTTTTCTTTTTTTCTTTGTTGTTTTTTCCTTCTTTTCTTTTCTTTCGCTCGCTTCTCCCTTTGCGGGACTGACAAGCTTTTCTATTTCGCCCTCTGGCGCCCGCGGGCTAGCCCCGAATCCCGTGGTCTAGGGGTCTACGAGCGAGAGACCATGGATCTTACCAATTCTTATGTATGATTATCTGGACCTTTGAAGCAACTGAGGCTGATGGAGTCCTGCAGATTTTTAGTAACTCGACGCTGGCCGAAATTCTAGATGACCTTTGTGTGAGGTACGTGTCACCACAGTCCCTTCGACGGTCTTGGAGTGCTAATCTTGTATCTAGATTCATCATCAATCTACCAGAGGAGGAGCTGAGTTCGATTGAGGTTCGTTTGTTGCGGTCCCTTTTTTTTTTTTTTCACTGTTGTTGCTGCGACCCCCTGTGATTGTCCAGTGCGCGGTTCTAACCAGTGCAGCGAATATGTTTTCAAATCGAGGAGGCGCAGTGGTATTTCGAGGATTTCATCCGAGAAACGAATCCCATGCTGCCTACACTTCCGCTCCGTACTTTTCTTAATAAGATCTTTGCTATCTGTCCGCTACCTATCTTGAAGGAAATGCCGCCTGAACGAGCGGAAAATGCGTTTGCGGAATTCATGGCTTACAAAACACGCGTGCCAGTTCGTGGTGCAGTATTGTTGAACAGTGCGATGGATAAGTGTGTACTTGTGAAGGGATGGAAGAGCGGGGCTAGTTGGAGTTTTCCCCGAGGGAAAATCAACAAGGATGAGCGAGACGAGGACTGTGCGGCCAGAGAGGTACTGGAGGAAACTAGCTATGATATTGAGGGAAGGGTCCATAGTGATCATTTTGTTGAAGTCACAATGAGGGAGCAGAATATGAGGTTATATATCATTCCCGGAGTACCTGAGGAAACGAAGTTTGAGCCAAGGACAAGGAAAGAGATCAGTGTGTGTAAAACCATTCCCCTTTCTTCATATGCCCGCCCAGAACTTTAGTTTGCTCGTTTTACTGACTCTGAATTCTGGTTTGAAAGAAAATCGCATGGCATCATTTGTCTGACCTACCAACCTTTTCAAAAAAGAAGAACCAACAAAACATCCAACAATCTGACGTTCGAACAGGAAAGTACTATATGGTTGCCCCATTCCTCAAAGAACTCCGTAAGTGGATTTCAACATCTGGAAAGAAATGGCTTGAGGAGCAGAAACAGATGCCATCTTCGGCGACTCTCATCGGCGATGAGACAGAGATAGAAGATATTATTCCACCGCAAGCCGTTGATTCTTCGGCAGAATTAAGAAATCTCTTAGGTATCCCGCACAACGGGGCCGCCAAACCCAACGGAAATTATAATACCACTGGAACCGACGAGGCTACTGCGAGGCTTAAGAATTTTCTCAATCTTTCTGGGCCTGTCACAGAACCTGTGGATGCTTCCAGCAAACTCAAGTCTTTACTCAATGTGGGTGGGGGAAGTAACACCCAGATAACGGAGCAATCGCTCAAACCAAACCCCCAAATGCTGCTCTCCATCTTACAGAACAAAGGTGGGCCTTCAAACCCACAGCCAACCGCGACCCCCCCAATCCTTCCACAGCCTATGGGGCAGCATACACCTTCGATCCCGACACCTACCCATCACTCTCCAACTGGCCCGCCTAATAATCTTATGGAAGGCTTTCACTCTCAAATACGCCCCCCCCACCCGCCATCTCCTCCCCCCACATTCAGTTTCCTAGGTCCTCACCAGATGTACGACCCGCTGCACAGTCAACCCCATCCTCCAAACCATCTGTTCACCCATCGCCAATTCAATCAGCCCATATTTCCTTCAAACCATCATGGCGAATCCCCCACCTTCCCGAACAGGCCCCCAGGTTGGCGGCCATCTCCGACCCCGCTCGACGCACTTATGCCCTCGCCTGTTCCTTCCAAACCCCCAGATCCGGGGCAAGCAGTAATGCTCCTATCGATTCTCAAAAGTGCTGCACCGAGCACCCCGGCAACTCCACATACACCTCCCCCTGCACGAGCTGCAAACCCTTCACGCACTCCCTCCCAGCCGTACCATCAACAAGAGCAACAAACAAAACAGATTGGCTTGCAAACGCCTCCGGCCTTAAAGACTTCCGGATCGCAGCACAAAAACAACCTTCTCGACACCCTCCGAGGAAGCACAACTGAAACCACAAGACCGGCCTCTGCTACCCTCATTGCCCAGTATGATTTTCCACCAAGGCATATGGCACCTCTAGCTTCCGAGAATGCACCAGCAAGGCCTTTGCATTCCGCGACTGCTTCCCCTCAGATTAGCCGATTTCCCTCAAGGACTCCGAATGCATCGCACACACCGGTTCCAGCAAGCACTACCCCACAACCCACGAGCTTTGATAGACGACAATCTGTCAGCAGCGAACAGCAAAGGGCGCTGCTTGCAATATTCACCAACGGCGCGTCTACTCCCCATGAGGACCCTGCAATTATTTCCTCATCTGAGGGAGCGAAACCTACCACACCTTTGAGATCGAGGACTACAAGTTTCGCTCGAAGGGTTACCCCAATGAGTCCTTTGTCGAGGGAGAAGGATGGCCTCTTAGCTTATCTCGAAACCGTGGCTAAGGAAGGTGGCCAATAGTGGAATAGCAGATAGCCATTTATCTCTCATCGACCCTTTTTCTTTTTCTTTTTCTTTTTTCTTGGTTCCTCCTGCTTTCTCCCTCTCTTTCCCCTTACTCTTGGGCTCCTTCTAAATTCTCACTTTTTTGCCACTTTCTGTTCGCTTTTATACCCTCCTTTCTCACCTTTCCTCTGTCGGAGTTATTTCTGAACTGGGGTACTTTACTTTCAGCTAGGGAGGAGCGCTTTTACAAAAAAATTGCTTTCAGCAACTTGTGCTTTGCCACCCGCAATTTGGACGGGTTCGATTTTCAGGATTTTCGTGTATGTTCTTGTATTCTGCGGAAAACTTTTCTTGTACTGTACCATGAGCGATGAGAACGAGCTATGGCTATGATAGGGGGCGCTGTTATGTAGGCGTCGGCTTTCTTTCTTCTTCACATTTCAAACTGAGGGGGTATTGTACTGTTATTGTTTAATACCCTCAACAATGGTGGGGAGAACTGTTACGAGGTCCAAGGTTATTGGATGTAGAACTTAGCGGCTATCCATCTTGTCTGTGGGGACACCGGGTTGGTGGAGAATGAGGTGGGTGGCGATGGTGGTTAGCTAGCTACAGTACCATAGGGTAGTTGGCCACCGGCACTGCAGTGGTTGACTAGGTTTAAGATGGAGACAAAAAATAATAAAAATGCGACTCAAAGACCGTTTTATCGGTCATGAGTTTCACTCGCAATCGGAATCCCTACGGTGATGAAACATCAGTGGATCAAAAAGAAAAGAAGGAAAGGCTCAATTTCCATCATTCAATGAGTTAATGGGATAATAATATCATAATAGTGATAACGAACACTGTCATTCCCGACCCACTCTGGGGATGGTATATGTCGGTACGTATCTGCAGACCATGATATCACCGCACAGCATAGCAACCTACTGCAACAGCAATACCGTAAATTTACCAGTAATATCATTTGCTTGCCTGAATGCCTCCTCGCTCATCGACCCGTTGCGCTGGGAGGGGGGGGCGCAAGCTCCCTCCCTCCCTCCCTCCCACCATCTCTCTCCTACGTGATACAACACTAATGCAGCCCGAGGGGAGGAGGGGGGGGGATTCACTACGAGTAGGTACAATACCGGTACTGTACTAGTACAAGTACGGTACGTTGTCAATTAGTAGTTTGCCCTTGCTTAGCTGCTTGTTAGCGGTACCACATCGATAGCTTTTTTATGATGACTGTGGTGCGATAGTACGGTATCTAAGGGGCCATCTAGGTCCGGCATTGGGCTCTTGGTGTACTCGAGTATTGAGCTACTATTGGTGGTATCGGTGCTCGAGTAACTGTATCCCGAGCTAACCCGTTGGATCTTTGGGAAAAGAAAAGGAAATTCTCATCAGCCCTATGGAATCACGTGACGGGCATTGGTGGTGGGTAGGGAGCGGAGAACACAATTTTGTCTCAACAATGTACATAGTACTCGTAACGTCTTAGTGAGAATTACGATAAGATAGTAGTAATGGTAAAGATGGAGGGGGGGTAAAGGTTGAAAGAGGACGAGATCTTTGGAATCGCGGCGGTGATGGCTCTATGAGATATAACGGTACCGGCACTCGAGTACGTTAGGGTGCCTAAGTATGATACTGCACAGCGTTGCTGCCTAGAGCACTGCACAGTGCGCGGGTATCGGTAGTTTTCCACCCTCTGGAGATTAGAGAAAAGCTATTATTCTGGGGTTGGGTTGGAAGGAAGGGGAGATCCACTGCTTTGGGTTTTGAGACCTCTTCTTCTTCTTCTTGAACACACCCGGGTCGAGCCTTGCTTGAATTGGGCAGAAGAAAGAGTGTTCATGAGAAGGTTGGAAATGGGTTGGAAGAGGAGAATTACTATTACCGGTAGGCGACTGGCTCGTTTCTACAATTGGGGAGGGGAAAAAGCGAGTGGGTTGCCAACTTTTTCCCAGACAGTGCATGGAAGAGATGGTGCGAAATATGGAAATGTGATCATGGCGGACTTGTTACTTTTGTTCGAACGCTCGAACCTCAAAATGATTGGTATTGGGAGTCTCTTCTCTCCCTCTCTCTCCCTCTCTCCCCCTCTCTTATGGTTTGCTCGTTTCTCGAGCGGGTGTGATACTGAAGAATTGTGGAAGGTCTTTTATTTTTTATTTTTATTTTTATTTTTTTCATTCCTTTTCAACATTTATTCGAGTTGGAGTTTTTGGTGGAGTCTGGAAGGGAGTGAAAAATAAACAAGAATACAGAATGGGAAGAAGAAGTCTCTTTCTTCTTGTTTCTATTTTTTTTTTTTTTCGGGGGGGGAGAGGGTTTTTTTTTTGGAGGGGGCAGGTTGATTCAGGTTGACGGACGGGATTATGGGGGATTGCGCATCATTCTGCTGGCTCTTCCCTTGACGGACGGTTGGATCTACAAACGAGCTCTGAGCCAGCTGTCTACAGCTCCGCCGTCTCTAGTGCCGTATCATACGGTGCTCTCCCCCGTAACATATGTACTGTACAGGATGTACTAGTGCTCCGTACCGGTTGTGAAATACCAGATTTCATATTTTCTCATCGATGGGGTATCCTTTACTGCATCACCTCGGTATTTGAGCAAACGAGGCGGTTCGAAGGTGGGTGATCGATCACCGGCTTTGACTATCAATGAATATGGGCTTGCATCACCCTTTTGCGGAACTTGTGGTCGGGAGAGCAAGGTGACTGAGAATACTCGTAGAGGCTGTAGTCTAAATATCTGTGACGGTGTTGGAATTGGTGGACAATTTGTTCTTCTTTTCTTGCAATGTCATACCGGTATTTACGGTATGCGGTGAACAAGTTAGGGAATAAATTGAGGAGAAAGAAAATAAAAAAGAAAAAAAAAGAGAAAAGAGGGCTGGAGGGTCACCAAAAGTGAAGGCTGCAAAAAAAAAAAAAAAAAAAAGATTCCCGTGAAAAAGTTCCCAAAGACAGAGCTTGCCTTGCCTCTCTTTACCCTGACCTCTCGTCCCTATTCGTCGTTTTTTTTTATTCTTTGCCTCACCAACTCCCTATTTCACATAACCTAAACCTCTCTCTCCTTCTGCATTTGCATCTTAACAGCTTTCGTCTCCTCCGCCCTTCCCCTGCCCTCCCGTTCCATCATAATTCCCGGCAGCTTGCCCCCCTCGGTCAATTTTATTATCATAATATTATACTGTCCCTGTCGCTGTTATCATACCTAGCCCGCAGCACTCTCTCTTCCGTCACCGCTTTTCCTTTCCAGAGCACATTTAACAGAGCAGGAGACGGAGAGAACGACATCAAGTTATCCTCCACCAACCACACACATTTTCCCACACACCTTCTCTCGGTAGGTTCTCCATCCATATTCTCTCCTTCCTTTCCAGCTCCACACTTTCTCTTTTTCCCCCGCCTCGAGCCTCCTGCCTCCCGTTCCACACCTTCTCCCTTCCCTTTTCCTCCTTTTCCCCTCCCAGTCCGAGTTGGTTATTGTTATAGGCACCTTTTTTTTTTTTTCCTTTATAATTTCCCCTTTTCAAGTCTACTTTCCATTTCGCGTAGGCGCTAGCCAGGAAGCGAGACAATATTGCATCGCGCAAGCCCATACAAGAATCCAGACACCCATTTCCCTCCATCCATCCCCTTTCTTCCACGCACACCCCCCCTTCTCCGAATCATCTATCAACCATCTTCTACGACATCTGTCAATCCTTCGCGAACCCGCCCCCATCGTCGTGTGGTATCACTTCCGTTGCCAGCTAACATAATCCACTCTTTTCCTGTCTCCATAGACCTCCTAACTCTTTAATAATCCGGACCCTAGCTCTTTCGCGGGAAAAAGGGTAGCCTCGTTTGATAAAGACGACGACACGATCGATATACCGCGACGAGTACCTCGGGAGGTGATTTCCATATATTACAACCGCCATGTCTGACATACAAGACAGAATCGCCGCTGCTAGAAGGGAGGCGGAAGGGCTGAAGGCGAAGATAAAGATAAAAAAGGAGGAATTGGCAGATGCGGATTGTGAGCAGATGACTTGAATTGGTACCACTTTTCGCACTTTTGCTGACCTTTACTCCGTTTTGCAGTGCGACAAGTCGCAAAGGAGACTCTTGAACCTCTACCACGCACTCAGATGAAGGTACGGAAAACGCTCAAGGGTCATTTGGCGAAGATCTACGCTATGCACTGGTCGACGGACCGGAGACATCTGGTTTCAGCTTCGCAAGATGGGAAGCTCATTATCTGGGATGCATATACCACAAACAAGGTACATGCTATTCCGCTTCGCTCCTCATGGGTTATGACATGTGCATATGCTCCGAGTGGTAATTATGTTGCTTGTGGTGGACTCGACAACATTTGTTCTGTGTACAATCTTTCCGCCAGGGATGGTCCTACACGCGTTGCGCGCGAGCTTTCGGGTCACTCGGGCTATTTATCCTGCTGTAGATTTATCAATGATAGGAGGGTTCTCACTTCGTCGGGAGATATGACGTGTATGCTGTGGGATATTGATACGGGTGCCAAAATTACCGAATTTTCCGATCATCTCGGAGATGTCATGAGTCTCAGCATCAATCCGACAAATCAGAACATCTTTGTCTCTGGTGCTTGTGATGCTTTCGCAAAGCTTTGGGACATCCGCACTGGAAAGGCCGTTCAAACTTTTGCGGGGCACGAATCGGATATCAATGCTGTTCAGTTTTTCCCCGATGGAAATGCTTTTGGTACCGGTTCCGATGACGCTACCTGTCGTTTATTTGATATCCGTGCTGATAGGGAGCTTAACACATATTCTGTGGGTGTTCTCCTGACTTTTTATGCGCTTCCCCCGATCGAATACCTTACTAACATGCACAATTTTTTGATATAGTCCGATCAAATCCTTTGCGGAATCACTTCAGTCGCATTCTCTGTCTCTGGCCGTCTGCTCTTTGCTGGATACGATGACTTCGAATGTAAAGTAAGTAGAGACTTCTCCACAGCTTGTCATGACTCGGACTCGGATCCATTGGAGATTTTGTTCCAATACCTGTGTATGTTACACGAATGTGATTGGATACTGATAGGTTTTTAATTAGGTCTGGGATGTGCTTCGTGGTGAACGTGTAGGGACTCTCACCGGGCATGACAACCGTGTTAGTTGTCTTGGTGTTAGCAATGACGGAATTAGTTTGTGTACTGGGTCGTGGGATTCAACTGTGAGCTCCTTTATTTCTTTGATGTGCTTAATATCCAGAAATTTTGCTGAACCATTATACAGCTTAAGATTTGGGCTTGGTAGTTGGCTCCATATTTGTGTGGTCGTCTCGATAGTTTGGCTGTCACAGATGCACAGATGACAGATAAGAAGGCCGGATGGGGGATCGTGCCGTTTATGAGCCGAGTTAATTTTTTCACTATGCGGTTAGGTTCGCATACTTCCAAAGCGTTACCAAACATTCTGGAGAATAAGGGGTTAGATGGGTGGAGAAAAAAATTACGCACAATTTTTTTCTGCTTTTTCTTGCTTTTTTCTTTTTCCTTCCTCTCGATGGTTAACTGTGGCAAATTCGCAACCTCCTTCTCTCTTTCTTCTCTTTGCTTTATTTTTTCACATTTATCTTCACTACCCTTGTAAGTTACCTTATTTTACCTGCTTTTTTTCTTTCTCAAATACCTCTTTGTTTGTCAGAAGTGCTGGTATGGAATGGCCTGAGATGACTATTTGCTATTGATAGTACCCCGAATTTTTTTTTCGCTTCTTCTGCTCTCTGCGGCAGGCCGGGTTGGCTGTTTGAGTACCAGTAATTCTTTTTATCCTTCCTACTTACCACCTTTTTTCTTTCTTTATTTCCTGCGAATGTTGCGAGTCATCGGAGTTTTTTCTTCTTCATTTTCTTGCTTCTACGGTACCCATTCTCTCTCTACCGCTCTCCCAATCTAGCTCTTGATATCTCTGATCTAACCTAACATCTCTTATGTTTGAAGTCTTAGCCTTTGCTGTTTCTATAACAAGTAGTATTTACACACTTTTTCTCTTTTTTTGTTACTTTGACATTTTTCCTTTCCTTATACGGTCTGGACGTGGATGTGCGTATGTATGGAATTGGGTTGAATAAGACGGTAGCCATGAAGACAGAACTGAACAAAAGTATACGGAACAGAAAATGAAGTTAGTGAGTAAGCAAGCGTACAGATGCGGAGCACTGTGGGGGATAAGTTAGGATAAGACGATGGTGCTTTTCTTGTGTATGTGTAGTGCTAAGAAGGGTTAGAGTGAAGACTGATACCGGTATGAAGGTGGTGGTCAGTGGAAGAGTACTCAGTAGGTGCGAAGGAGAGAGAAAGGAATGGAAGTTATCAAAAAAGGGCGCAGTAACAGAATCACCCTTTTGCAACCTTCCTTTCTTCTTTCTTGCTTACACATGCGAATGAATGATAGCACAAGGTACCTGATGTGAGATTATGTCTGCAGGCAAAATGGGTTTGCAAACTTTAGTATCTTATGCTGCTGCAACCGCCCCTCCCGAACGAACCAAGATTCTTACCCCCCAAAAAAAACCCTGTATAACTTAGTAAAAGCGCACCACCACCCGCAGCAGAACTTGATCTCCCCACGACCGAGTTTGCTGCCTGGCTGCCTCCCTGCCCGCCCTGTCGCTCACCTCACTTGTGTCAAATGGACGGGAACCTTATGCGTCTTATGTAACCTACCCATGATTACTCACTCACACATCCTCCTCCAATAGACAGACACCTACCCTAGCGCCTATCGTTCCCAAGGCGCAAGGAACATAACGTGCCCTGTCACTCACTCCGCACTACAACTCCCCCTAGAACAATTTCCGGTAACCTTACTCTATTTTGACACAAGCGCTTCCATCCCGGTGTTTGTTTTTTTTTGTTTCTTTCTAGAACCCTTCTTTATTTCTTCCCTCCTCCTCCTCGACCCCTACCGGTACAATACTTGTACTAGTACAATAACTCGTAGTACACAGTGATGACGGTTGTCTCGGACAAGACTGCTGTTTTGCGATTAAGTCCGCGGAGATAAAGCTTTGATCAGGGTTTGTTTCGAGAATGCCTGAGGGTGTCTTGCTTCCTGGCGGCCGGGCCGGTCGATTCTCATTGTGGATGAGTAAAAAAGTACCGGTATGAGTACAGTTGCCGGAAGTTGGGGTCGGGGTTGACCGTTTTCTTTCTTTCTTTCTTCCTCCTCCCTCCCTGGTGGTGGAGAAGGAGGAGGAGTGAGCACGGACCAGATTGGAAACAGGGAGTGCATTGGATGTTGACTGGGGGGAAGGAGGGGGGCGGGTGCGGAGTGCGGTATGGGATTATTATTGTCATGGTCGTGTGTGGCTGGGTAGGGGGGAAAGGAGTTTTCGTGCTTGATGGGGGTTTGTGTAATCAGGCGTAATCTACTTATGATATTATGGTGAGTTTCGATTAGTTTGGGGGCGAAATGGGAAAAAGGGTCTGGTTGCGAGAGAGGTTGGCGGTGAGAGTTTTATATCTTGGGATAATTTGGGGGGATAGAGTTTTTGTGGAGAGTGTTTAGAGTAGGTATAGTGGGTATATTGTAAGGTATCATGTCATATAAACTTTGGATGTAAATTTTGGTCAAAAAAGGGAAGAAAATGAAAGAAGATCAACTATGATAATTATTGATGATAAAATTGGGGTTTTACAGGAAAAGAGGTGGAATATCTTACTCCTGACCAATTCAACCAAGTGAATATTAATGGACCTAATATATCTATAAAGAAGTAAATAGATTCAATCAAAAGATATGGTAATGTGGAAACTGCAAAAACTATCTTCATAAATTATTGTAAAATTTCAAGATCCGATTGAATTTACAGACTATTATATTTAGTGATTGATATCATAAAAACACTCTTAACTCAAAAGAACAAAAAGCAAAGTTTTACCTTTTTTTCGGGACAACACCCATATGAAAACAAATTTAACCCTTTCTTCAAATATTTGTAGTTACAATGCAAGCTAAAATGGCCTTTAATGTAACAATCCCTCCTTAGATAGTTAGTTCTTGGCGACGGGGAACGATACTTCTCTTCTTCTGTTTCTTTTCTTAGTCTTACAATAGCACTAGGCCTCTGCCTATGTTACTGATAGTACAAGACCTCTGTCTTCTATCGGGAACGCCTATCGTAAGCTTTTTCTAACTCTTCTTCGTGAAGAGCTCTCCTTGGTGTAACAATAATGTTGCAATAAAGATAAAGATCGTAAAGGTGTTTTATATTTGTTAAAGTAATAAGTAGGAAAAGTACTTAGAACAAAGTGTGAAGAACCTATCCTCCTCGGCCGCATTGGCCTCCTTATATAGTATTCTTCCCGCCCGTAGTCATGTGACCTAAAGTGGTCACATGTGCAAAACCAAATCATAACAAACTAGTCATGTGACCAAAGTGGTTACATGCTCAAAACCCATGACCTCATAGCGAGGTCATGTACAAAAACTCATAAACCAATCATAATACAATAAACAAGTCATACGACTCGACTGAGTCATATGCGTGAAACCCATGACCTCATAACGAGGTCATGTATGAAACATAAATCATATGTGCAAGGCATACCTGCAAGGCACACTCGCAAGGCATACTCATCAGGCGCATGTCCTATGACTCATATTTGAGCCATGTGTGAAAGTATCACAAATCCCACATATAACAAATCATATGACTCAAATGAGTCATATGTGTGAAACAATAACATACCTGTAACTCATAACCATATGTCACGTGAAAACCTTTTCCTCACCAAGCCACATTCGTGACATTTAACTTCAAACTATAAAAAATAAATTTTAAACTTTTTCATTAAACTGTATCTATATTATTTGTTAATTATTGAAGAGAGTTTAATAAAAAAGTAATATTTATTAATAGCCCCTTCCCCTCCTATTTCACATTTCTCATAGTTAGTAAAAGCAAGTGTGATGGAAAAGCAAGTGTGACACGCCAGTTTTTTTGTTTTTAGAGTTCTATATAACAACAGTTGTAAACTACAACTTTAATTGAATGCTACAAAGTTAGTATTTCTAGTGATTGAGTCATTTGATATACATGAAGAACCAGAGGCTGATTCAATGTCCAAATTTGGAGAATTATCTTCAGGGTGACTAGTTTCTGTCCTCCTTTAGTCTGTATGCCCATTTCCACTAGGAGCCAGCAATTGAGGATCAATAACATTAAAAGAACAAACAGAGGGGTGTTCTAGCAGCAAGAGAGCTTGCAAGAGATTAGGAGTTGGTTCTAGTGACTCGAGATCTTGAGCACTAGGATTCTTCTCAAGATCATGACTTGGTATTTGCAGCTTAGTAGGAACAATTTTTCCCTTAATTAGAATATTCTTGACATGCTGCTTTCTTTCCTTCTCCGCCTTGTGAGCATCAATACCACAGCAATTGAGAACTGTTTTCGCTTTATTCACCGCAAATTGAATAATCTTATGGGCCTTCTTAATTGCAGCTGCCTTCTCCTGCTCCTCCATTTCCTTCTTCCTTTGTCTTGCAGCTTCAATAGTAATGATACCACCTTTTTGAATGATCCTGCAGGACTTGCTTTTATGCTGTTTCTCTTCCTGAACTTGGATTTAGATATTGTGATAAGATTCTTGTTGGAGTTCAGCAAGAAGTAATGACTAAAGGTTTCTGTATGCTCAACCCACTTACCAAGTCCATTCTAGCAGTTAAAATAGGTGATAGGAAGCAGTAGAAGTTCCAACTCTCCCCCCTCATCAACTGATACACCAGTGTAATTCTTACCATCTCCTTGGCTGCCACCTGAATTGGTGAGATAATTCGCAATGGCTTTTCCCTTTTTGTTGTAATGTTGTATCTTCTTTAAGGCTTTCTTGAATAACACTAGAAACATTCCTGACTCTTTAAAGAAGTTTTTAATGGTAAATAGTTAGAATGTTTATTAGGAATACCAGAACCCGATATCTAGGAACCACCCTAAGTAGGGTAACCCCACTCGGAATCGGAATCTCTGGTCTCCAACACCCCCCTCTGGATCTCTTATGGGGCCCGTGTGTCATCATATATATTAATCTCAGCTGCATCCTGTGACTATATTACCACAGAATTGAAGGTGTTAGAATAATACCATATATATCATCGCTGTCCATCCGACCGGATCCTGTTCGCAGGTTTTATGAGAGGGGACCTTCGGCTAGGTCTGAGAAGTAGAACAGAGTAATTCCGTCAACTACTCAGAGAGTTACTTGGCTTCAAAGATATGACACCTTTGGCATGGGCCATAAGTAACAGGACGATTTCGCACAAAGAGATGGTATCAAATGGTAAAGGATCTCTACTAGAGACCAATACATTTACATACACCAGAAGAGTTTAGAACTCCAAAAGACACTACCAAAGAAGCCAACGAACTTCATGGAGTGTTGCAACTGGGTTTCGGAACATGTCGTAACCATGGGGTGATTCTCAATACTACAATGGTTACTGAAACTTACTACACAGCAAGCAACCAAGGGTTGCCGACCGAGGAATTAATCACCAATCTGGTGGAATAGCTTCCTGCGAGTTAATAGGAAGTCATCCAAAGAGAATCTATCAGTTGGGTATGGAGTTACAAAGGATCGGAGTCAGACGACCTACGATAGTTGTAATGACGACCACCTTTGCAGATATAGCCGTGGATAAAACTGATCATTTTATTAATGGCGAAGACAATTGGAGCCAACTCAGTTTGACTTAAGAACTAGGTCATAAGTCTAAAGGCTCTGCTAATTGAGATATTACTATTAGGGACAGCACGTTTCCTAAGAAGAAATATTATAATTACCGAAGAGGGTATGATGGTTTTCAGGGTCCACA